CGACTTACTTTCCCTTACTCCGGAGGGAGGCAGCAGGGGGTGGGGCCCGACAGACCGATGCAAGTCTCGGACCTAGTCTCGCGCTCTCGCGAGATTAGGCCACTCCGTGAACAAGATGGACTGATAGCCATCGAAAATTTGGAGGTTAGTCTCCTTATCCCTCCAAAGTTGTCACTGATGAAAGAATTCACTAGGAACCAAATTATTGAAAAGAGTTTACTCACCTGCAGTTCATATCCGTCCTCTGTTACGGTACGACAGATGCGATCTTCCACAGACTCCTCAAGCACACACTCCATCCGGGCGGCCATGATCCCGTCCTCTCTGGGTTCCCTCCACTTCTTAAAGATGACCGTCCTGACGCGTCGGGCCCGAACGTTTTTAGTCACAAGGTTGACGATTCCGCTAACATCTGTCCCGTCATTACAGCGAAGTACAACGAACCTGAGATATAAGTGTAAGAATGGTTTATTTGAAATTCCCCTCACATATGTCACACTTGCAGTCCTAAGACTGAATTATGGTGACAGGACATACATACATTATCATAGACTTATACAATTATTACTAAAGGTTAAAAATTATGAATGACAACTACAATTTTATGTACAGTTGAAGTATACAATGTATAATAGTACAATGCGTTGGTTAAAAGATGGACATTCGTGTACTATATAAGATTATTAAAATCTTTAACAATATTTCTATTATTTACATAGGATTTATACTAAGTAATTATAAACAAGGGGAGTCATATGATAAAGTACACAAAGTGTTGACTTTGTTATATGATTCGTAAATAATTTCATCAGGTTGGTAAACGAATGAATAGCAAAGTTCTTTTATCACAACCATTCATTTTTTTACTAGCCGACGTTTCGATGACCGTCTGTCATCTTCATCACCATGTAACACCTTTAGTGCACTATGCACCAAGTAACATCTAGCGTCGGTGCACAGTAAACCCGTCAGAATTGCCCTGATGAAGATGACAGAAGGTCATCGAAACGTCGGCTCGTAAAACAATAAATGGTTGTGATCAAAGAACTTTGCTATTCTGAGATATAGTTATTTGCCAGTTCAGGCTAGGAATAAATCATTACATTGTCCTGGAGCACTCACTATATGTATCATTTATTTATTTTCACTCATTATTTATCTATGTGGTCAAGTGCCAGTACAACTACATTCTAAACATTAAAGACGACATGAATAATTATTATGACCAGTGATTATGATTATTATTGTTATCATTATGCTTATTATCATTATGATCAGTTACTATTATGATAAGTTATGAGTCGAATTATGAATAATTATTATGATCAGTTATTATTATGATTGTGATTATTATTGCTACTATTATGAATATTGTTATTAGTATGATCAGTTATTATTATTGTGTAAGGGATGGTTCACTATATCCCTCAACAGAACACCTTCCCGGACTGATTAATCTGTACACCTGGGGTCCGCGCGGACCCCAGAACAGTTTTTTGCTAATTTTTAGAAATTATCAACATGCTACCAGCTCAATTGTTTTGCAAACTGATGTGGGAACCTCTGTGTCCACATTACATCCAAAAATCATACATTTTGAACTTTTTCTATTTTTTTGTGAAGAAAAGAAGACAAGAAGAAATACCCGATTTTTAAACCCATTTCAGACTGAAGGGGCTTTTGAGGCCCAACTTTGATCTCAGATAGCGGCTAAACGGCTTGCGCTAGAAGTATCAAATTTGGAGACCTTTCCTAAAATGTCTCTGAAAAAAAGTTCATATTAGTTTAATACTAGTAAGTTGATGTTTTTTTGTGTTGCCATGGCAACGGGTTTCTTTTTTTTAAATAGAAGTAATTTTGGTTTAAACATAAAAATTTTCTGAGTTTTATATTAAATTACACTTCTTTTCCAACATTAATAACATCTTACATAATTAAATATAAGTTAAATACATTTAACATGCATAGAATATGCTAATGTTGATGACGTCATTAGGTCAAAATCCAATATTGCGGACTATATTATTAGCTCTGACGTCATATGACGAAATAATTACATTAAAGTTATTAAAATCTAATTCTATTACTACACCATTCTCTGAAAACTTGGCAGACATACGATGATTGCATAAAAACATATAAAAACGGAAATAAGGTCATGTATAAGAACGCCAGTGTATCCATTATGATCGAAAGCCGGCTGGGGTCCGCGCGGACCCCAAAAGAAAATCAGATATAATTTTTTATAAATGGTAGAAACGGAGTTTTCTGCACTGTATTGAGAGACAACTTTGTGGGTGACAATTACCTAAAATTTCAGAAAAAAATCTTTAGAAACAAAAAAGATATTACAGAATATATAGTGCTGGGGTCCGCGCGGACCCCAGGTGTACTGTTTAGGGATTTTGTATGTATGTTTTTGATATATGAATAAAAAAACCTTAGAGACAACAGTCAGTCCATGTGTTGCTCATAAAAAAGGATTGAGACAACATGCCAGTCAGATCCCTTTCTTGCAGCAGAGGGACTTTTCTCTTTTTTTATTCTAAGACTTCCATTTCCTTAGCTTATAATTATTCACCAATTTCACACTTCCCATAATGCCTAGTAAATATCACGGATATGACGCATGACAGACTCCCTCCCCCTTCCTCGATGTAATATTTCCAACAAGTTCTATCGACAAACTGGTCAACTATTGTTTTGAATTATTTCTCTAGTATAAAGCGCATGCCGTAATTGCATTTTTGTTGGAATTAGAGAAAATGACGTACCTTCTATCGTTCTACCTTCTACCGAAGACTCTCCTACTCGCTCGGTCACATTACGTATATCCGTCATATCCGTGATCTTTACTAGGTATTATGGGAAGTGTAAAATTGGTGAATTTCAAGACTCAGTAGTGCATGTGTACTTGCCCAGAACTGAGCCGGTCTGTCTTAAAAGCCACTTTTGAACCACGAAGGACGACATCCTCCACTTTACTGGTGACATCTTCCCAATCTCCGTCTTCATTACAGCTGAGGACGCGGACTCGACTGTCTTCTTCACCAGGCGACAGCGGCAGGACGATGGTGGCAGGGCTGTTCAACAACAGGTTACTGCCTTTGAAGAAGTTGACGATGTGACTCATGTTGTCTATGGAATCCTCCATCCCAGCACACGCTACGGTGTCTCTGTCGACTGGGGTCACCTTTGTAGGACAGAAAATTATAAAAAGAGTTGTTTATTGCAAATTAATGCCCGAGGCCTAATTGCCCATTTTGTTGTGTTGGAAATTACAGTTTAAACTTCCTTAACAATTTATTTGTCTCTTCGCACACAAATTTCGAGCCAACAATAATACGGAAATATTTACAGTAAACGAGATCTCTTCCTCTTCAGGAATACAATCCTCGGGAAGGATGACCTCAATCCCTGTCTGGTCGGAGGATGTCAGCGTTGAAGATTCGCCTTTCCGTCCTCTGTGACAGTGCTCCAATGGCCTCGCCACCACAGCGAACGACGAGAAGTGCATTACTTCTACCGTAACAAACCTCTGTCCCTAAAAGGCAGATATCAGGAGGTTGAGAGCACGTACGTTTCGCTAACATATTGTAAATAAGAATTGAGTCAACAAGTTTTCCTGTAAGATAAGGTAAGGTTTGTAACTCTGGTAGCGTAGAAGATGAAATACATTTTTTCTTGATTGTAAATTGCTTGGTATTGAACGTGACACACTATTTAGAACAATCCACTTAGACAAACTATATGAAGGTAGAACAAAGAAAGAGATATTTAGTCATCTCGTGTCTCACCAGTAATGACCACACAATAGAAAAACTTCGTGAATTTATCTCCAATTGCTTCAAAAAGAGAGAAGAAATCCTCAAGGCCTAGATTAATTTATTCTCTAGTACATTTGTAGTTGTTAGACTTTTACGTCATTCTGTTATTCTTCTATCCTTGTATCCAATGTATCGTGTTACTCAGTATGATGTACATGTAAAATCACATTTTGATGTATGCATTTAGCCCCATGGGCATAAACATGCAAATAAAGATTCAATATTGATGAGGTTTCTACGATAGTGGAGTAGTATTTCAACCCTTACTTGCTCGTGTTCGCACTGTGTTTCCAGATCTACCCACGTCATTCCGTCATCCTCTGAAGTCATCACAAAGTACTCCCTCTCGCTGTCGTACTTGGGTAAGGAGTGGGGGATTCTGAGTTTGACGGGGTCTGAGAACGTCATCCCCGCCGGTCTCATCTCGATGATGTCGCTGACTAGAAGCTGGTCGTCTCCCAGTTGGATGGTTCCGTCGTACCCGTGCGGGTTTAGGACTAGCGTGATAACAGATGTATCCTCGTCTGTAGCTCCGGGAGGAATGCTCAAGTTACAGCCAGCAGGAAGGTCAAAGGACTGCACCGTGCTTCTACCTGTTGATATCTCATAGCTGTGGAAAGCAAATGGATGAGTTCGCTTTTCAGCCATTTGCACAATGCCAGTTATTATATCGCTGAAAACCTACAAGTGTTTAATGCTTTTGTTTATAGTTAAGCAAGTAGACAAAGGATTGTTATCAAGAGAGGCTACATTTTTGGCGACGTCTCAGGGAGGAGCCTAATGGTACAGTATTGTGTGCAGTTTACAAGAATTCTAGGAATTGTACAGGCATTTTGTCTACAGGAATGGAATGTCCACAGGCATTTCTCTGACCCACATCTATGCCCACATTCCTGGAACCCTTGGGAAGACCTCTCTGACCCGGATGCCCCAACTTTCTGTGACCCCGGGGCTCGTTCACTATACACTCAGGGGAGGAGTGCACTGTATCTGTCTAGACTTTACAGGTACCAAGTCTTCCTCAAAGACAAAATCATGAAATGATGGCAGTACCATGCAAACAATAACCCTTCATTACCAGTCTTGTTACACTTACCTGATCGGCTTGTCGTATTCTTCTGGAACAGTTTGCCCCAGGCGCCACTCTTCCTCCTGTTCCAGGACGACTGACTTCGCTGTTGCAGTGATGATTTCCTCCACAAGCTCTTCCATCACCGGGCGTGCCTTTGCATCTATGATGGCGTTTTCTTCCTCGACGGTTTCCTTGCTGACTTCCCTCACAAACTCCAACACGATGGACTTGAAAATGTCTCCAGTGAATTCTTCTTCTGAGACCGCAACGTCTGCCATGCACATCATCAGATCATCGGGTAACCCCCCTTCAACGATAGTGACAATGTCGTCTGACAGACTTTCAATGATTGTGTCGTCAATAACCTCCGTTGCTATGGTGACGGTCACGTGGTTGAAGCAATCCTCTGCCAACAGGTCGGTCCGTACGGAGACTACACCTTCTCTGACAATTTTGTGGTCTGGAACTTGTAGTGCCGGAGTGTTGCTAAGGACGAGACCCGTATTTTTGCCTATAGCTTTGTCTTTTAGCTCCCTCAAGCGGTGAAGCGAAGGTGGCAAGCTGGAAAGCCGACGGTTTCCCTCCAAATCAAGGGTTTCCAGATTGAGCAGCCGCCCGAAGCTGTCAGGAAGTGTGCGAAGTTTGTTACCAGCCAGATGGGGCTTAAGTGTAGTTTACGGCCGCAAACGTGTTTTTTTCATCCCGACAAAATTACTGTACGTTGACGATATAACACAGCTGCCGATGTCGTCTTATTGCTCTCGGCCGTCTTATAACTGCGTCGGTGCTTTAGACTGCGTCGGACTTAAAATGCGTCGGGGCTTACAAATGCGTCGGGCTTACAAACGCGTCGGAGCTTACAAACGCGTCGGAGCTTACAAACGCGTCGGAGCTTACAAACGCGTCGGAGCTTACAAATCACGTCGGGCCTTGCAAATCACGTCGGGCCTTGCAAATCACGTCGGAGACTGCGACGAGGATTAAGTCCTTATCTAAACCTGCGACGAGGATTAAGATCTTATCTAAACCTGCGACGAGGATTAACTTGACCGGGACCTTTTCACACCTAGTTAACACCTACCCGAGATGTGTATTCAATACACACCTCTTATCAATTTGATACTATTGATCGCGTGTTAGTATGTGCAAGTGCTCGTGTGTGTGTGTAACATCTGTGTACATAATATCAACAGGGTACATAATATCACCACCTTGAGAAATAGTAGTACTATCTAAATTTTAAAGAGATTTTTACTGCAAGGTCCTACATTTTAGGTATGTAGGAGTGCATACCAAAAGTATGTTGCGGTAAAAATATCTTTAAGCACACTGTTTCTCAAGGTGGTGATATTATGTACCCTGGTGATATTATGTACACAGATGTTATAGATAATATATATATATATATGCGTGTCTGTTTATCTTGACATAACTAGATGGTTTGCGTGCGCGTGCGTTTGCCCTGAGGAACGCGACTTCACAGCGTGGTGGCCTGACTCTTACAACCTAAGATGTTAACGACTTGAAAAATAGTTCTTATTTAAAACAGATATAGAAGAAGATGGATATTTGCCCGTAATTATATAATGCGGTGCTTGCGAAATGAACGTCAACGCAACACTTACTGCCTAGTTGGGGGGGGGCACTATGTACAGTACAGTATATCCAGAAATTTTATTCACGCTTACATAAGTGTTATATGTACCCATGGCATTTATACTCTTATTCTATAAATAAGCGACTTTGTACATCTCTACGGACACCACTCAGATAAAAAATGCAGGCAACTGAAAGCCATCTGGCATTCTAATCCAAAGTATAACATATTACTCAAATGTTGATTTCAGTTTTTGTGTAATGGAAGTACCCCTGCTACAGTAACTGACGGGATAGATGGCGTGGACACGGGCAACTAGGAACAAATTTGGACACACATAAAACTAGTTCTTTGTTTATAATTCATGTTTTTGGTTTGTTGCATTGCTGTGTGTTCAGGTTTGTTCCTGTTTTTTTCGGCGACCACGCGGGGTCCGGCGGCCGTCGGTAACCCTACTCTCCAAGCAGAGGCTTAGGTTTTGGGTTATTTTTTGCGTGTTTTAGGCTTTCTTATCGGGGTTTCTTTCTTCGAACTAGATTTTTTGGGGTAGGGTGAAAAAAAAAGTCCAGTGCAAAAAAGAAACCCCGATAAAAAGTGCAAAACACGCCGAAAATTACCCAAAACCCAAACCTCTGCTTGGAGAGTACAGGATCCGCGCCAGTCTAGGTCCCTTCCGATAGTGCCAAAAACAGCCCGAAAACGCGCCGCGCGGGCCCCGATTTTGAATTGTGACCTTTATCAGACTAAGCCAGGCAGAACTCTCCTCGGGCTGCAACTGCCCGTAAAGCACATCTAGATCTGCGGGCATACTGCCATGTGCAACCGAAGGGAGATGGTTGGAGGCCCGATCCAGACTGGTTACCGGGGCATGCTTTTCTTTGTTGTATCCGAGCAAGGAGTTCGCCTTGATCCGAGTGCACATTTCCAATTCCAGTGCCCATTTGCCTAGTCTCTACCAGCCTACCAGGCACCGCGGATAGCTGGAAACATAGTAGAAATTGGTCGAAACGATGGGATAGTATACCTGGGGAGCCGCATATTTGGATCCTCTCTGGCCGGCTGACTCCCCTGGCATACTATCCCTTCATTTCGGCCAATTTTCCAGCGATCCGCTGTGCCTGGTATTGCCCACTACTAGTCCGTGTGATTCAGACACCACAGGAATGATCTGCTGACTCAGATCTAAAGATACTTGTGCCGGGATGGTCAGGTCGCGCGCTTGTTCAACTTCTGTGCTGCTTGGTCAGGCTTTTTTATACGGTCGTACTTCCTCTTTTGTGCCGGGACATGTCCATATTCCTCCTTGCTCCAAACTACTCCGTTCCACCAAGCTTGTAGAACGTCCTTGGTTCCACACTCAGACGTCTTTGTTCCATCGGGGCCAGTTCTGGCGGTAAAAGCAATGTCTTGGTCACAACTTGCGGCTTGCTTTGAGCAGATTCTCAGCAAAAATACGAGTGGTAAATTCAGTAGATTTGAAAAACCTACTATTGTCTATCATTGGATAATGCCCTGTCACATGACCTCCTCCTGACAGACAGGGCGGAGATTCACCCAATGGTCTTGTCATATGAATGGCGTTTGGGCTTGTTCACGGATTAGCAATGAATAAATTTACATTTGGAAAACATACGCCTTCTCTGCCCTCCGCCAGATTTTTCAGACCTCGTTGCCTGCTGAACACTAGAAACAATACTGTCTGTGCATTCTTTTTCGAAAAAGATTTTTTTTAAACATAACCCCCGCTACGCTACAATATTCGGCATTTATAAGAAAAATATGTGGTGGCAAAAAAATAGAAAGAAAGAATTTATAGAAACGCAAAACTTCCCAGCATATAAGCGGAAAGGGTGTGGAATGGCCCCCCGACTGCCGGACAGTTTGTTTATAGGAAGGAAAGATGCATGTTTTAGGAAAGCCACGAATAGGCACAACAATATTGTATTTTTTCACGTTAAAATAAGTGTGGACAATCTGACCCCTGCTACAAAGAACATTCGGCACACATTGCGACGGTGCAAAAAAAATAATAAAGAGACGCAACGGAGCTAGCTATA